GAAAGGGACTGTGTCATTTAGTGACATACAATCGCCATGACTCACATTGGTAGTTTGCTTACCATGGTATTTATAATGATCATATTAATATCTTAATTTGATTTATGGTGTACACTAATGACTATTTTACTAAACCACTACAGAAGTTATCATATGTGCCAAGTGGGAGAATGTAAGATTATTTATTTAATTGTGGCCCACTTGATTTGGACATGTGACATATTACTTGGTGGCTAAGTAAATAAATATCAATTAATTATTCTTGGTCAATTTATAATTACCTTTTTGGTAATTACTTATTGGAGAAGTGTTTTCCTTCTAATTCCTTACTTTGATGGAAAGTAGAATTATGTTCCTAAAAAGAAAACTGGCCCTCTCTCTGCCTTTATAAAAGTGCATATACTCCATCAATTATGTACGATTATTGATACAACACGTAATAGTTTTATTTGTGCAAAAGGCCAAGAGAGAGAAACCAGTTTTCATCTTTGGCTGTTGATCAGAATTACAGATTAGTTCATAGTTAAATGATCTAAACGTTGGACCTAATCTCAATAAGATTTGATATCATGAATCGAGGTATATATATCTAACTACATATATTTATGCGTTATGAGGATGTGAAATTAATTGAAATTCTAAGATCTAGGGATTTATGATTATTTGTGATTAATGTTTAACACAAATTAATTAGGGTTTTTACGGAAGGAATAATGGATGGTTGCACTGAGGTTTCTCCAATAGCAGCTGCATATTTAAACTTTTTCCTTCTGACAGTGACCCATTCTGTGGTTGGTTGAATTGAAAGACAATGGTCCTTTGTAGGTGCCTTGGAGTTAATCAGTGAAGTTATTGCAGTGGACATTTGGTGAGGTGGTTTGATGAAGTTCAGAGGGCAAGAGGTATCAGTGTGATTAAGCTGGTGACATTTATTGCAAAATCTTGGAAGCCATTGGTACTCAAGTCTTATTCCTACTATTCTGTTATCATCTTTTATGGGAAGTACCTCTTTTTGAAGTGGTTTTTGCAGGTCAAGATTAACTCAAAGTTTAGCAAACTTTAGTTTAGTTCTGCTCTCTGTAGCTTGATCTGCATAAAGTGGCTCTCCCACTGAGCTAGCTATGTAGCTCAACCCTTTAACAGTCCAAAACTTGAGTGGAATGTTGTAGAATTTGATCCAGGTTGGAATGCATCCAAGACTTGTGGGTTGTGATTGTTGTTCATGGTTCCATTTCATTAGTGAGAAGGGGTGGCCAGCAATAGACCAAGGATCTAGAGATAGGACCTGTTGTGCCTCAGTGCTTGTGTTGAACTTGAAGAGGTAAGAATACCTGGTTGGATGTAAGCCATTTGTAGTTTGGTTATGTGGAAAGTGGACTGGGCTAGTACCATTTTGGGTAATATTAGTGTTGTTTGAAAGTGTAGCATGCAGTGGTGACTTGACAGTACCATTAGAAATCACATTCAAATTCAAATTTAAGTTTGAATTCAAACCTAGGCCCCCCTTGACAGGTAGCTCATCTCTGCCGGATGGTGAGGGGGTGGAGCCTGGAGGTGGCTGGTGGTGCTTTTGTAGGTTGGACACGGCCAGCACAGCTCTCGCATCAGAGCTAGTAATGTGGTCACCTATATGCATGACAGGCTCTCTTGCAGTGGAGGTTGTTTTGGTGGTAGAGGAGGGAGGTGGTACTTTGCGGTGTTTGATGAACTTTTTGAAGCTTGAACTCAGCAGCAAGCTCAGCTCTCTGATTTGAAATAATCTTGTCCATTCCATAATGCATGTCCATTGTTTTTCCCAAATTCTCTTCAGCCCATTCAAGTTGTTCCTGCAATCTTTTCATTTGGTGACCAGGTGAGTCATATAACAAAGGGTTGAATTTCTTGGGGGATAGGTGTATTTTGGTGGGTGGCATGGAGTACTGGTTTTTGGTTTACAGTCATTCATGAAACAACTTTCAACTTTTGGAACGAAATATTATTTTCTTTACCAATATGTCAGGTAGGGTCTGAAGACTTGGTCAACAAATACTATGAAATTGGCCAGTCCAACACCTGTCATCATCAATGTCATGACTGGCCCCTTACTTCCACACCGAACTACCTATCAGTTCTTCCGTCTGGACTCTATTGACAGCTGTTTAGGTTCATTCGTCCTCTCCAATAATTTGACCTACTTAATTTCTACTATTATCATTAGATATTTTGTACTGGTATTTGAAATGGGCCGTACTAGATATATTATTTCAATAAATATGAATGTAATAAGTAATTCGGTGAGAGTATTGAGCTTGATTATTTTATTTTAAAATCTATTTTTCTTTTGATAAATGGAGTATTTTTTTTATTAATTAGAGCATAAAATTGAAAAGAAAATTATGAGGTTGAAAGTGATCTTATTTTTTTTTTCCTTTACTTAATACAAAGTTGGTACCGCTCCACTAAACTTTTGGAGACCCCACTAATCTTTCACAGTGGACTTGTGTTTTCCTTAAATCAAAGTAGGGTTGTTAAAAATAAGGATAAATTTCATTTATTATGTTTAGAGTTTGTCAATATTTTATATACACCGCTTTTATATTTTATAATTTTACATACTTTTCTTGTCAGTGAAAACTATCCACCTTAGTAACGATAGTGTATTATTTTACTATTTTTTTATATAAATTATATATTAATTAAATATACTAATTAGAAAGGCCTCAGTAAAGGTGGTGTGTTATTTTACTATTTTTTTATAAATTATATATTAATTAAATATATCATTTAATGTAATAAAAAGGCAAAATTGGCATTTTATTAAATTTCTCTTACTGATATGAGCAGAATTTATCAGATGCTAAGAATCTCAAAAAGAACAAGTGAGATTCTAAAATGTAAAAAGAGTGTCCATGATTTACATTCCTGTGCGTCTTTTTGATCCACCGTGCGTTTAAGGATTGGTTTATGATTCACACAAAATAGCCCAATAAACCAAGCCCAAAATGGGTCACCCTTTTCAACTACTGGTACAATCTGTGCTCTATAATATGATCAAGTACTGGTCTAGCCTATTTGTTCCACCCAAGGCAGTGCTCTCTGAGGTTAACAATCTACTAAGAAATTTCCTTTGGTCTGGCACTAATTTTAAATACACTGGGGTCAAGGTTAATTGGGCAGCTTGTTGTTTCCCTAAGGAATGTGGCGGGCTAGGTTTCAGGAATTAGGAGGTTGCTAATATGGCTGTAGGATTGAGACATATTTGGACTCTATTGGCTAATCACAGGAACAATCTTTGGGCAGAATGGGTTCGAGCTCAGCTTATTAGAGACCGCTGCTTCTGGACAGTGGGGATCCCACAGGCCTGCTCTAGCAATTGGAAGAAAATTCTACACCTAAGAGAAGTGGCTAGGTCGATGTTCAGGTGGAAGGTTGGGGATGGGTCCACAATTTTTTTCTGGGATGATGTTTGGCTTGGTGATGGTCCTCTTTCCCTAAGAGTCTCAAGGGATTTTATCGCTAACTCACACATTTTCCTTGATCAGAAGCTTGCATCTTTTCTCTATGATGGCCACTGGCAGTTTCCTCAATTTCTCACTAACATCATTCCGGAATTAACTAATTTTGATCCTCCAAGCTCACCTGTTGATACTTCGATCTGGGCTCCGGCACCAACAGGATCCTTCTCGCTTAAGCACACCATTGATTTTTTGAGCTTGCATCAACAACCAAAGCACTGGACCCATCTCATCTGGAATGCCCTATCAATCCCACATTACAAATTCACTCTTTGGCTTGCCGTGCAGAACAGATTGCCCACTCTTGATCGGAGCTGAATGAGATCATTCCATGGTTCCAGATGCTGCCTCCTTTGTAATTTAGTTGATGAATCCCACAACCATATGTTCTTCTCTTGCTCGTTCACGAGACCCATATGGATTTCGCTGCAAAACAAGAGTAGATTTCGCTTCTCCCCGTCTTCTTGGAATGAAATTGTTGATCAAGTTTCACATCGGTGGTCGAAAAGGGGGGTTGAGATCATCCGTGAATAAGCTTCTTCTCTCCACAACCATCAACATAATTTGGTTGGAGCGTAATAATCGGATTTTCAACGCACACAAATCTTCACAAATTTCCATCTATAGAGAGATCATCACCCTTGTTCGTTAGAAATTGCTCACCGTATCTGTCAAGGACTCTCCTGTTGCACGATCGCTTCAGCTGGAATGGGATCTACCGGCGTTCATCCGTCCACCACCGGAGCCTCCTGATTGGGTGATTTAGCGGCACGAAGGAGCCCGAAGGAGCCCTAGTTTTTCTCACCGGATGGTTGATATGGCTGATACATGTATAGTCTAGGGTTCACCTAGACTAAGAATGTCTTGTGCTATATTGTTGGACTTGGGCCTCTGGTGTTGTTTACTTTTGTTCACTTTTGGGTTGTAGTCCCTTACCGTATTTGCTGGCTAGTTGTAACGGGTGGACGCTTGCCCATTTACCCAAAAGCTCGAACTGTTAGGTAAGGCTGCATACCCACCCATTTATACTCAATCTCTTTCCCATCCGATTCCGATGTGGAACAAAATGACCCTTGTTACATTCTCCCCCACCCAAACTCGCACCGCCCTCGTTGCGGTTGGGCCACCCTGCCTACCCGGGTGGACTCACCCGGACGCCTTCCGGGCCGGGCGCTTGGCGTGGCACCGGATCAAGGATTGGGTTTGGCTCTGATACCAACTGTAACGGGTGGGCACTTGCCCATTTACCCAAAAGTTCGAACTGTTAGGTAAGGCTGCATACCCACCCGATTCCGATTCCGATGTGGGACAAAATGACCCTTGTTACACTAGTCCATAACCGTCGGCCTCATTAGCAAATGATTTGTAATATTTTGTATTTATTATATACTACTAACTTACCTGCCAAAAAAAAAGAAAGGAAAAGTCCAACCTATCATCACTATTCGACACCTGTCCTCATCAATGTCATTATTTTCTACAACGAAACAATGTCAATGCTTTACGTCTTGGGGCTAAAAATCAAAATTGCTTTATCACTGCCATCAATGAGTCTTCCTTAAGCGCCTCAACCCTTTGCGCCTTCACCACTCATTTCCTATGTCATTTCTGAATCTGCTGAATCTGATTTGGATATGCCAAACCCCTTTCTCTATGCCCAAATAGAAACTAAGGAAGACAATCTCAGTGCTTCTCGGTTTTTTTTTTTTTTTTTTTAATAAAGATTAATTATCAAAAAAAAAAAAGAAGGTTTGATCACCCACCATGCCTTTCTTCAATAACTCCATAGCCCTTCTCTTTCTTTGCTTGCTCATCCTCACCACTAAAATTAGCTCCAAACCTCTTTCAAATCACTGCCCAAATACAACCACTTTCACTCCTAACACCACCTACCACACCAATCTCAATCTCCTCCTCTCCAACCTGTCCTCCAACGCCACCACACCCGACGACGGATTCTATACCACCACCGCCGGTGGCAGCCCCAACACAGTCTACGGCCTCTTTCTATGCCGGGGCGATGTTACCACCGATCAATGTCACAATTGTGTCAAAACTGCAAGTCAAGAAATCCTACAAGAGTGTCCCAATAGGACCGTTGCCACGGTTTGGTATGACGAGTGCTTATTACGGTACTCAAGCACAAACATCTTCTCCAGAGTGGACACATCTGTTTGGATTATTCTGTCCAACTCTACGAATGTGAGCGAGGAACCTGACCGGTTTATGGAGCTGTTGGCGAGCACAATGGATGAGTTAGCGGATTGGGCAGAGACAAACCGGTCAGGTAAGAAATTTGGTGCTAAAGTAGCTGACTTCACAGCGGTTCAGAAGCTGTATGGGCTTGTACAGTGCACACCAGACTTGTCTACCGATGATTGCAACACCTGCCTTCGAGATGGCATAGCACGTCTTCCAAGTTGCTGCGGCGGAAAGCAGGGGGGAAGAGTTCTGTTTCCGAGCTGTAATATTCGTTACGAGACTCACCCTTTCTTCAATATCTCTGCCTCTACACCAGTGCCTGCGCCAGTTCCTCCTCCTCCTCCGGGTTCTAGTACCGGTAAATATGTACTCTATGAGGTCATGAATTTGTTGGTAGTATAATGTATTAAATTTAATTTATAAGCCCATTGCTGGAGTGATCAAAATTGTTAGCAATGCAATGAGAGGATCTGGTTTGGATAAATACTTACCATATTATGTTACCCTTTAGTCTTACTATTTTCTTTATTTTGTTGTCTACAAAATCAATTTGATCAAGGAAAATATTAGTTGTTCATAGAGAATTTCCAATCAAACAGTTTTCTTTCTTTGGTGCAGGAAAAGGAGGAACCTCAACGGGGGTAATTATTGGCATTGTTGTGGCAGTAGTTGTAGTAGCGGTGTTCTTTTCCGTTGGCGTATGGTGCAAAGTGATGAAAAGAAGGAAGGAATACAATAATATTAGAGAGGAATCTGGTAATACAAAAAGAAGAAAAGAATCCAATTGCACTTGTTTAAACCAAATTTGCTTTTTCCAGTATCACAAATACTAATGTCAATAATTCATTTCATGTTTGATTGTGTAGTTGGGGATGATATCACAACAGCAGAGTCCTTGTCATATGATTTTGTAACAATTGAAGCAGCCACAAATAACTTCTCTCATCAAAACAAAATTGGTGAAGGTGGATTTGGTGCGGTTTATAAGGTAAGCGGTTAGTACCTGTACTTTATTTCAAGGATAAGTACCAAATTATCTGGTTCAGAACCCATGTTTACTGATGTATGAAAAACTAGTTGGACCGATTCCATTTATAATGTTTTCAGAAAATAATTACCAAACCATAAACTTTCATCTGTATATACTTTGTTAAAGACCAAAACCCCAATTGCCAATTCACATCGTTTGCGTATAAAAAATTATGCACTGGTTCATAAATTTATCAATGTGTATGTATGTCTATTTTCAAATTTACAGATTGGTACATAAAATAGGGATGTCCAAGTTTTCACTCATTCTGTAATTTAGTACCACAGTCCAAAATATACATACTGGTGCATTGGACAATAACATCTTATTAATTAGTGCTCGTGTTTATGTTCACATTTTAGAACCACTACATTTGATACAATTACCAATGCTATTTCAACAAACAGTGGAAGTTCATAGTTCTCAGTTCTCACAAATTCATAGATAGGTTAGACCACTTTGATTGTTCACAGTTTTGTAATTTAAGGACCAAAAGACAATACTTTATATAGTTCGTCCTTGATTTTAAGTATGCCAAATTCAGACACTCCAAAACTTTACAGGTTTATGAAGTTTCAGATAAAATATTCAGTAATTGATTATCATTATAATATAAATACACAGGGTACACTTTCAAGTGGACAAGAGATAGCTGTGAAGAGACTATCCAAAAGGTCCGGACAAGGTGCAGAAGAATTCAAGAATGAAGTTGTATTGGTAGCCAAGCTTCAACACAGAAATCTAGTTAGACTGCTGGGATTCTGCTTGGAAAGAGAAGAAAAGTTGCTTATCTATGAATTCGTCCCCAACAAAAGCCTCGACTATTTCCTATTTGGTTTGGTCCATCTCTAAAAATTTATAGAGTTATTGAATTTAACTATTTTTTTATGTTCTACTCCTTAAAATACATTATCTCCATAACACACTATCTGAATAAGCAAACAAAAAAATTGGATCTTAAATAAACATATGTACTGTGTATATAGATGTTCTAAAGGGCCAAGAAATTGTTGATTTATTTTGGGTTTCTATATTGTGTGTCATAGTATTAAGTACACTGCATTTGTATGATTGTTGAAAATAAATAAAAATATTGTTATGAAATCTAAGTTCTCTATTCTAACTCTGAATATTTATTATGATCAATGTATAGATCCGGCAAAACGAGTTCTGTTGGATTGGTCAAGACGTTACAAGATTATAGGGGGCATTGCACGTGGAATTCTTTATCTTCATGAAGATTCTCGACTTAGAATTATACATCGTGATCTTAAGGCTAGTAATATACTTTTAGATGAAGATATGAGTGCAAAAATTTCAGATTTTGGCATGGCAAGGATTTTTGGCGTGAATCAAACTCAAGGAAATACGAATAGAATAGTTGGGACATAGTGAGTTTTCCAATCCCAAAATCCCCTGCTTCATTCTATTCCATGGTTTGAATTAACAGATAAAGAATGTCTAATCTCAACTAGAAGTTGGGTGGGGAAGAAAAAGGCAAAGTTCATTTTGATAATCCCATACTTCTTCGACTCAGACAAAACAGCTAGCTTCCTTCTGACTAGTACTAGTCTGTGCTTTAATTGTTGCTTATGCATTGCATCATCAAATGTATAGCTTTACTATAAGCGTCAAGCATACTTTGTTGTTGTATTCTTACTTGTATTGATGTGCTGGATTACAGTGGTTACATGTCTCCAGAGTATGCAATGCGCGGACAATTCTCTGTAAAGTCTGATGTGTTTAGTTTTGGAGTGCTAATTCTAGAGATCATAACCGGCAAGAAAAATAATAATTTCTATCAATCAGATGGTGCCAGAGACCTTCCGAGTTTTGTGAGTGCAAACTGAATGTTAAAATTGTTATTTTTGTTTGTTAATATCAATATGAGCATTGCAACATGCATTTAGGGACAATGCACATCTTTTTAACATCAATTGACAAATTGTCACAGGCTTGGAAACATTGGAAGGATGGAACACCCATGGAATTGTTGGATCCAACTCTGGCAGATTCAAACTCAAGAAATGAAGTCATTAGATGCATCCATATTGGCTTATTGTGCGTTCAAGAAGATGTGGATGCCAGGCCCTCCATGGCATCTGTGGTTGTTATGCTCAACAGTTATTCTTTTACACTACAATTGCCTCAACATCCTCCGATCTTTGGCCGTAGCGAAACCGGGTCGACCATACCAAAAGTGCTGGAGTCAGATCAATCTACAAGCCAGTCAGTCCAATGGTCTTTGAATGAAGCATCAATTACTGAACTACACCCTAGATAATGTTAGAAAAGTATGTGTATGCTGTAAAGAGTGAAATGAATAAATTCATGGTCACAGGATCTGAATAATGTATGTATAGATCATCAGAGGTTGAGAGATTAGCATTTGTACTCACCTATTGCTAATTTTTTTAATTTTCAGCATGTTTCATTACTTGTCGAACAAAAACCCCATTTTCCATCTCTAATTACTGCACAAATGCATCTTTGACTCTCCTAGCAGGACCTATCATGTAAATTATTGATCAAATGTCCTCCTTTCTTCTCTTTCCTCAGTGATTTACTAATCAATTTCCTGAAATAACGTTATAGGTGTATTACCATCATTAATTCCCACTTTACTAGTCATAAGCATTTTTTTAGTTCTAAAATAAAACCAGTCATAATATATATGTGTAAATGAAATTTATTTGTTCCCAACGGACGAAATTCGAAATGCAATAGAATTTGAAGGGAATACAGATGAGAAATTATATTAGTTTTAAAATTCCATTAAGAAATGGTTGGATTTTATCAAATTATCAAAATTTGAAAATTACTAAGAGTATGTTCGGTTGTATGGAATTAGAATTTGTAAAATTTGAAAAAAAATAATAATAATAATTGAACCAAAATTTTATCAAATTTCACAAATTCTAATTCTAAGACTAAAATTTCATATAGTCGAACACATCCTAAAACTATATATGGCTGGCATGAAATTGGAGCTTTAGAATTGAAATTGGAGAAAAGCAATCCAGCAAAATTTTATCCAATTCCACCAATTTCAATTTCAAAACTCTATTTCCATGCCACCAAATATAACCTAAGGACTTGTTTCATTATTAAAAAACAAATTTTACCTCCCCTCCCCCTCCCCCTCCCCCTCCCCCTTATTTAAAAAACAAATTTAACCCCGCGCGGGCCCCTTTTTTTAAACTTAGTTTCTAGAAAAACGGACAACCAATATTCCAATTGCTTTTCGGTATTGAAAAATAAAAAACTTAATGCCCGCCGCTCCAACCCCTTAAATTCCTCCTCTCCTCTAGAAAAAGAAAGTATGTCATTGGACCAATGACCCACTAATGTGACGTCATCTCTTTTATTTTGTCACTTTTATACAAAGTCCATTTCACTAAATTTTTAGTGAGTCCATATATAAAATAAAGAATTATTAAATCAAAGGGGATAGATGTTAGTAAAAATAAAAGCTTGGCCTCCCATAATTAACATTCCTTTCAACTTTTTGATCCACTATGCGCATAAGTTTGTTTAAAAATTAAAATTTGGGTATGATTCACGTAACCCAATCAACAATGGGTGACCCTTTTCTTGATGCAATGTACAAGGAAACTTCCAACCTATCATATCCATTCCCATTCCTGTCCTCCTCATCAATATTGTCAATTTGTCACTACTCTCCCATTATTTTAATGCAAGCAGCAATCCCAGTGGTCTCCATCTGTGCCTAAAAATCAAATTACCATCTAACAAGTCTTCCTAAGCCGCGTCAACCCAGAGTCCCTTTACCACTCATTTCCTGTGTTATATCTGTGAATCTAATTTTGATAAAAACCAAAACCCTTTCTATGCCCGAATCTGAGACAGGTTTGATCACCCACAACCATGCCTTCCTTCAAAATCTCCATAGCCCTTCTCTACTTTCTTGGCTTGCTTAGCCTCCTCACCACTAAAATCAGCTCCCAACCTCTATCTAATCACTGTCCAAACACAACCACTTACAGCACTACTCTTAACACCACCTTCCACTCCAATCTCAATCTCCTCCTCTCCAACTTCTCCACCAACGCCACCACACCCAACAACGGATTCTATAACACCACCGCCGGTCGCAGCCCCAACGCAGTCTACGGCCTCTTTCTATGCCGGGGTGATGTTGCCACCGATAAATGTCATACTTGTGTCCGAGATGCAAGTCAAGAAATACTACAGCTGTGTGCCAATAGGACAGAGGCCACGGTTTGGTACGATGAATGCTTATTAAGATACTCACACAGAAATATTTTCTCCAGTATGGACACATCCATTGCGTTCATTCTGATCAACACACAGAATGTGACCGAGCCTGTGCGGTTTAGGCAGGTGTTGGGGAACACGATGGACGAGTTAGTGACTCGGGCTGTGAGTGCTGGCGGGTCAGGTAAAAAGTTCGCAGGTACAGTAAGCAACTACTCATCGTTTCAGAAGTTGTATGGACTTGTGCAGTGCACGCCGGACCTCTCTAGTGATGTTTGCAACACCTGCCTTCGCGATGCTATAGCAAGACTTCCAAGTTGCTGCGACATAAAGCTGGGGGCTAGAGTTCTGTTTCCGAGCTGTAATATTCGCTACGAGTTTTACCCTTTCTTCAATCTCACTGCCTCTACACCGCCGGCATCTGCTCCCGTGCCTGCACCAGTTCTTCCTCTTTCTCCTCCGGCTCCTCCAGTTTCTACTAGTAAAGGTGAACTCCACATCTTACATACCTTACTTGAATTTCAACTAGAGTAAGGCTGCTAAGAGAGCTTTCTCAGAGTCATGAGATTTCTGTATTTAATAAGTGAATTAAGACTATTTTTGAAATCTGTGACAAAATTATTTTATCCATATTTCTATTAAATATAGAGAGCTAGTGACTCTGGAGTTCTCTTGGATAGCATTATTCTTTCAATTATAAAATTGAAGTCATTGGTTAAAGAACCCCAACTCATGAATTTAAATGAAATTTGTTTGCAGCATAATTTATTAGATTTAATTTAATAAATCCATTGCTGGGGTGATCAAAATTGTTACCACTGTACAGTGAGGATCTGGATGCAATATGTGACCCTTACGATATTCTATACCACTTCCCTCTTATTTAATGTAAATTTTTTTTCTTTTTTTATGAAATCAATTTCATTGTGGAAAAATTATTTGTTCATAGAGAATTTTCAATCAAGCATTTTTCTTTGATAAAGGAAATGGGGTAATCTCAACGGCGGTAATTATTGCCATTGTTGTCCCGGTAATTGTGGCAGTGCTGCTCTTTTCCATTGGCTTCTGGTGCATTGTCAGGAAAGCAAAGAAGAAAAACAATACTATTAAGGAGGAATCTGGTAATACAAAAAGAAGAAAAGAATTCAACTGCATTTGTTTAAACCAAATTTGCTTTTTCAGTATCAGATATACTAATGTCAATACATTTGATGTTTGATTGTGTAGCTGCAGATGATATCACAACAGTACAATCCTTGTCATATGATTTTGCAACAGTTGAAGCAGCTACAAACAACTTCTCTCCTGCAAACAAAATTGGTGAAGGTGGATTTGGTACTGTTTATAAGGTAAGGGATTATTACCTGTATTTTATTTCAAGGATAGCTACCAAATTATGTTGTTGAGGATCTATGTTTACTGAACTATGAAATAATATAACTTACCCAAAAAAAAAAAACTATGAAATAATATAATAAAAATTGGACCAATTCTACTTATAAAGTTTTCATAAAATAATTACCAAACCATAAACTTTCATCTCTATATATTTTGTTCAAGACCAAAACCCCATTTGCCAATACACAACAACTTCTAATTTCGGATATTAGAAATTGTGCACTGGTTCATAAATTTATCGAAATGTATATCCATGTGCATATTTACAGATTGGTAAAAAAAAGTTATGAAGTGATATTCAAGTTTTCACTCAGGATTTACCACCAGAGTCTGCCAAAAAGCTTCGTACCAGAATGTTTATGCCCAAATATACATACCGGTGCTTGTGGCAATAAAATCTTATGAATTAGTGATCATGTTTATACTCATATTTTAGAACTAATAAATTTGATACAATTAGCCATGCTATTTCAACACCCAGCGGATGGGTTAGACCACTTAGATTGTTCACAGTTTGGAAAATTAAGCACCAAAAGACCATATTTATTTAGTTCCCCCAAATATGCCAAATTCAGGCACTCCATAGCATTACAAGTTTCTGAAATTTCGGAAAAAATATTCAATAATTGATTCATTGTGGCATATATATACGCAGGGTACACTTCCAAGTGGACAAGAGATAGCTGTGAAGAGATTGTCCACCAGTTCCCAACAAGGTGCAGAAGAATTTAAGAATGAGGTTTTAGTGGTAGCCAAGCTTCAACACAGAAATCTAGTGAGATTACTGGGATTCTGCTTGGAAGGAGAAGAAAAGATACTTATCTATGAATTCGTCCCTAACAAAAGCCTTGACTATTTCCTATTTGGTTTGGCTCATCTCTAAAATTTTATCTAGTTATTAATTTTTTCTATTTTTGTCTCATCTTCTACTCCATACAAAATACAAATATGATGTCTATGACAATACATATATTATCTGACTTAGCAAACAGGAAAAAAATATATATTTGGATCTTAGAAGAACATATATACTGTTATATAGATGTTCAAATGCTGAAGAAAATGTTTATTTATTTTGGGCTCCATTCTGAGACATATATTAGTACATTGCATTTGCCTGTTTGTCGAATCACATTATTATGTAATGTTATGAAATCTAAATCCTAGAGTCTAACTTGAATATTTATCATGATCGATGTATAGATTCGGTTAAACAAGTTCTATTGGATTGGTCGAAACGTTACAAGATTATAGGAGGCATTGCACGTGGAATTCTCTATCTTCATGAAGATTCTCGACTTAGAATTATACATCGTGATCTCAAGGCTAGCAATATACTTTTAGATAAAGATATGAATGTAAAAATTTCAGATTTTGGCATGGCGAAGATTTTTGGCGTCGATCAAACTCAAGGAAATACAAGTAGAATTGTTGGGACATAGTAAGTTTTCAATCCCAAACGTTCCCCTGCTTCTTTCTTTCTCATATTTTGCATTAATGAATTCAGAATGTCTAATCTCAACTGGAACTTAGTAGGGGGAAAAAAAATTAAAAAAAGGTAAAGGTCATTTTGATAATCCAAACTTCTTCAACTTAGACAAACTGCTAGCCTCCTTCTACCCGGTACCTGAATGTCTCCTTTAATTGTTGGTTTTCCATTAACTTTTGTGCATTAGATCATCAAACGTTTAGCTTTACTATGAAGTAGTGTCAAATAGACTTTGTACTTTGTTGTTGTGTTCTTACTTGTGTTCTTGTACCGATGGTGTTGGATTGCAGTGGTTATATGTCTCCAGAGTATGCGATGCATGGAGATTTCTCCGTGAAGTCTGATGTGTTTAGTTTTGGAGTGTTAATTCTAGAGA